TTGCAATGAATTATCAAACCCAGCAGAGGAGTAGTGAGTGCCGTGGGAGGGGGGGATGGTTGGTGTCGGAACTGGTAAAAGACTGGAGGGAGGCAGCATGTCTGGCCTCGTAGGAATGAGCCGTGGGCTGCTGATGGTGATTCTGTCTTCCTCTTGTGAAGTTAGAGGAGGTCAGAAGATGCCACCTCCATGCCCTTTTTGCATCTATATATAATGTATATATACACACATATTGCCATCTTGACCCAGTTGACCCAGTTTTGAAGCCTTGCCTAGAGGCCAGTTCCCTTTTGTAGCGGTGATTGGTGATTAGGCCTACACCCCAACCACTCCCATTAAGGAGCTCTCAGCCTGGAACCCTCAAACCCTGTTGTTATGTGCCATCCCCATCTCATTTGCTTAAGCCGCCTCCCACAGTCCCCACTTGCTGTTAACCTGTCCCCAGATGCAACTCTCTGCAGTGTCTCGCTTGGAACTGTGCGTTTCAGAGAGCTCTGCTTTTCAGCTGAGTGTCTGTGTTGTGGCCCACCATCAGAGGGCCCATAATCCTACGTAGTATCTATCATATGCTTATGAACACCAGGCCTACGCAACCCAGCCCTGCTCCAACTCCCACTCTTCCTCTCGTTCATCAGCTCCGGCCACGGCCCTCCTGGCCTTGACCTGTCTCCTGATCTTTGACCCCTCTCCCAGCCTTCGCACCTGCTGCCTCCTCTGTCCAGAAGGCCCTTCTTCCAAGGGATCCACGGCTGGCGTCTTCAGGTCTCTGCACAGGGTCACCTTAGGGTGAACTGTCCCCATGTTTTCCCTCCTGGTCACCTGTCGCCATCTCCCACCCTGTGCTCTGCATATTGCTGTTGCCGCCCCCATGCCCCGAGCCCTGTCTTGGACTCCTGACGACCCCCCAGCAGTGCTCTCTCCAGACCCACAGAAGACACTGGAGACTGAGCGTGGGGTGATGTCCACAGCAGCTTTACTCCCCGAGCTGGGCTCTCTCCCTGGGCTTGTGATGGGGAAGGGGCCTTTGGCCCCAGCAGTAGAGCCATGCAGGCTGGGGGTGAACAGGGGTGGGCGGGGCGGTGGGCCCCGGAGGCTGGCAGGTCCTGGAGGACGCCTCACACAGGCTCCATCTGCAGCTCCTCCCCTTCCACAGCCTCGATCTGGTGAAAGGCGGCATGGGAGCCGATGACCACAAGGGTGGCTCCTGCAAGAAACAGACAGCTCGGGGCTTGCGTCTTCACCCGGCCCACACCGTCCAGCCCACCACCCAGACCTTGTACTCACCCAGGACCCAGAAGACAGCCGAGCCTGCACCGGCCAGCCAGAAGAAGGGGAAGGAGACGCCTCCGGCCAGAGCATACTGATGGGCTGGGCTCACCTCTCGGCCTGGGGGACAGGTGGCATTGGGGAGCTGGTCTGACACACTATACCCTCTCCCAGAGTGACCCCGCCACCTCTCAACTTCTCAAAGATTCCAGGAGCCTCGCGATCTAATTCAAACGCCCCAATCCAAGGCTTTCTGAGTCCTGGCCCCAACCTGTTTCTCCATGTCCCCACTGTCTTCCAGAACACAGCGCCCTTTACTCAGGCCCCTGCCCTCTGCACTTCAACTCCACTTCCTCCAGGAAGCTCTCAGCCCTGCCCACCCCCCAGAGTAGGGCTCTTTTGCTCCAACCTGTATTCATGTAAGCCAGGGGTCTCAAAGGGGCAGCCCGTGGAGCAAGTCTGGCCTGCCATTTTGAGTCACAAGAATTTGATGTGTGCCTGGCAAATAACCAGAAGGATTTCCCACAAAAAATAACAGAATGCTAGCTTCTCAGGGAAGACTGCAAGGTCGGGTCACACTGGGCTGCACCCTCTGGTGACACCGATCAGTTGAAACCATGCCTGAGATGCACCCTGAGGCTGCTCAGCATGCCTCTCCCCCAGCCCACCTTGGTCACGCATGTGACTTGCAGACTTCTGAAAGAACCCCACTTTGACCCCTGTGAATGACTTGGCCTTAGGTCTGATTGTCTGATCCCAACTCCTTCCGGTCTGCACTTCACACCTCGAGGTTCCCCTGGATGAGGACTCAAACACCTCTCGTCATCCCAGCAGTGCCTGGTACTAGCCTGGGACCACACGAAGTGCTCCACAAAAGCCACAGGTCTCGAGTTCCCTCTCTGAGACCCAATTTCCAGCTTCTATCCTGTTGTTATGTGCCGTCGAGTCGGCCCCGACTCATAGTGACCCCTCCTTGGGTTTCCGAGGCAGTATCACTACGGAAGTAGGATTGCCCAACCTTCCTTCCGAGGAGTGGCTGGTGGGTTTGAACCGCCAGCCTTCTGGTTAGCAGTCAAGTGCTTTAGCCACTATGCTACCAGAGCGTCTATCCTAGGAAGCAGGAAAGCCGAGGGGGCGGGTCTAGGCGAGTGTAAGGCTGCCACCTGGTGGCCAATATGGGTACACGCAGCCGATGCTTTCCGCAGAGAGATTAGGCAGGAGGGTGTGGTGAGGAAGGTGGTGAGGGGAGTGGTTTGGGGAGGTGACTTCAGTGACTAGGAACCAGATTGTCTCATTTTGCAGTCTGGGGGCTGAGAGTGCGTGGGAGCATGTGGTGTGTCTGGGATCTTAAGAGACCAGGTCTGGGGAACTAGTGTAGATTAGGCTTGGGCAGATGTAGGTTCAGGACTTGCGTTCGGGGGTCTGAGGCTCGAGTTAAGACACAGGACTTGCGAGGGGTGGGGGCTCCGTCGGGGCAGGGGGTTTCTCACCAAAGAGCACAAGCTTGGACTGCAACGTGCGCTGATAGAGGATGTAACAGGCCCCAAAGAAGACGGCCAGAGCCACCAACAGCATGGGAGACGTCACCCTGGGGAGGAGTGCAGGGAGGCAGGGGTCAGGCAGCTGGGGCAGGGCCAGCCAACGGCCTTGATCCTTCTACACTGGCGGATGGCAGAATGCATCCTTGAGGCTAGGCAAAGCCGGGTCACCTCTGGTCACACTGTTTCCTGGCCAAGCTGATAGAGGAGCAGATGTCTGGCCCTTCGGGAAATAAGGCCTGGCAGGGCTATCCCACAGGGGCGTGTCCCGGCCGCTGAGGGGGCGGGGCTGACTGCTGGGGGCGGGATTGACTAAAGCAGAGCCAACAGGAGCGCGCGATGCTTAGCTGTAGGGGAGAGGCCCGGTTCCGAGAGGCACTCACACACAGTACAGGATGAGGCCCAGGAACACGAACACGTAGTTGCTCTGGTAGTGCTCCACATTGCGAACAAGGCGTTGGCACAGCTCGCCCAGGTTGCGGGGCCGCGAGAAGAGCCGCTGATCCAGGAAGGAGCCCCAGGGTCGGATGGTCGCGCGGCGCCGCTCCAGCCACTCACGACCCGCGCCGGTTGGAATCAGCTTGGGCAGCAGGGTCCTGGTGGGCGAAGCGTGGTCAGCGGTAGACAGGGATAGCCCAGTACCCGGAAGAGGGAGGTTGAGGGCCCCGGGGGCTGGAGGGCCCAAACTCCTGGAACCCAGAGGACCCCCAAACTCTAGAGCCCTAGGAGAGCAGGGGGCTAAGGGCCTAGACTCTTGTGGCTGAGACTAGGGGACTGGGATCTGGACTTCTGGAACCCGAGGGGGGATGGAGCCGGGGACCCGCACTCCTGAGCCCCAGGTTAGGGGGGCAAGAGCCAAGTTGCTCACGTGGCGCTCAGCCCTTCTGCCTCAGCATCCTTCTGCTGATCCTTCTCGGCCGCCATGTCTGCGCAGTGATGGGTAGAACCGCTGTAACGAGCCCCGGGCCGGGCAGACACCATCCACCCCTCCGGAGCCCGGCCACACCCAGCGGAGGGGACGTGGCACCGCTCGGGAGCCGCTGGGAGCGGGAGTTCTGTCGCCGGGCATTGTGGGAATTGTAGTCCTGATGGTGTCTGGGAAGGTGGGCACAATGATAGCGGTCTCGCTCGCAACACACCTTGGGAAATGTAGTCCAGATGAAGTGAGGAGACGGGCCTTTGTGCATTGTGAAACTTGTAGTTTCAGAAGCAGGCGTATGGGAGTTGGGGTCTGGGAAGTGGGCTCCTGGGAATGAGGGCGGAATGGGAGGCCTAATGGCAGGAAAGGAGCTCTGGTGGCGTAATGCCTAAGGCATTTGACTGCTAACCAGAAGGCTGGTGGTTCAAGTCCACCAGCCACTTCTCAGAAGGTGGATGAGGCAATCTACTGCCTTGGAAACCAAAGGAGAGGTCACTATGAGTCTAGTCAACTCGAAGGCAGTGAGTTTGGTTTTTTGGTTTAATGGCAGAAACGGGTGTCGTGTACTCCCCGGCAAAGAGTGCTGCAATTACACCGTATAGAGTTGTCATTCTCAGACCCTAGTGATAATAAAAAACAGATTCCTAGTCTCCAATTCCAGATGTCCTGATTCAGCAGGTTAGGGGTGGGGTCCTTTAATTTGTGTTTTCCAGGTGATGCCAATGCTGCTGGTCCATGGACCACATTCTGAGTAGCAAACATGTAGAGAATTTATGGGAATTTTTCCTTCTTTCCTCAAGGGGCAAAGTCTAGTGAGAGTGCCTCTGATGTTGAAGAGGGTGTCTGGGGTTCAGGGCACAGCCTGCTTCCTCACCCCTAGGGCTCCCAGGGTTGAATGGATTAGAACTAGCCTCCTTACATCCTGATGAACTTTGGATAAGAGACAAGGAAGTTGGAAAAAGGAAAGGGCTGGTGATGGTCACAGGGGCCATCAAGCTAAGTTGGCATAACATACTACACAAAAGCCCTGACTGTTCTACATCCTACTTTGGTGAGTAGCAACTGGGGTCTTAAAAGCTTGCAAGCAGCCATCTAGATGCAACAACGGGTCTCTCCTCATCCAGAGCAGAGAAGAATGAAGAAAACCAAAGATTCATGGAAAGAATTAGTCCAGGGGACTAACAGACCATGTGACCTTCAGCTTATGTGAACATGAGACCAGAAGAACTGGATGGTACCCAGCTAGCACTATCAACCATTCAGAAAGGGATCAGTAAAGGAGATCATGGATAGAGTGGGAGAACAACATAGAACAGACCTCAAAATCATGCAAAAGACCAGATTTACTGGTCTGATAAAGCCTGGTGAGACCCCCAAGACTATGACCCCTAGTTACCCTTCAGGTCTGGAATTGAATTACTCCTGTGGCTCAAACAGACAGGCATATAGGGTGAAAATTTACATCAGACAGATATACACCTTAGAACGATCAATCATGGGAATAGAAGGGCGGGGTTTGCACAGGGACACAGCTGGAGGGGGGTAGGAGTGCACAGGAAAGAAGGACACAAGGAAGAGGTAATTACAGAGAGGGAGTGGGAAGAGAGCTGTTACATTGTGGGGAACTGTAGTCATGAAACACAATGTGTCTGAACTGCTGTGTGGAAAACGGATTTGCTCTGTAAACTTTCACCCACATCACAATAAAAACTTCTTTTGAAAAAGGAAAGGTTTGAGTATTTTATTTTATTTTATTTTTTAAAGAGGGAGCTGGTATAATGAAAAGAGCTGGGATTCTGGAGTCAGGATCAGATCTGAGTGCAAATCTAGACTGTGTGGCTTTCACCAAGTCACTTCTCTGAACCTTTGTCTTCATCTGGTCATTAAGAATCCTAAGGTACCACACTCCTGAGGTTGTGATGATTCAGTTAAATGAGCCATATAAAGTGTTAAAAGAGTCTGGACACTTTGTAACTGTATAATTGTGTTGTTGTGTGCCATCGAGTCGACTCCAACTCACAGTGACCCCATGTGACGGAACAGCTGCCCCATAGGGTTTTCTTGGTTGTAACTTTTATGGAAAAAGGTTACCGGGTCTTTCTTCCACAGAGCTGCTGGCTGAGGCTGTAGTGCTAAACTTTTGGTTAGCAGCCAAGCTTTAAACTGTTGTACCACCAGGGCTCCTGTCAATAAAGTGTTGTTGTTGTTGTTAGATGCTGTTATTTCCGACTCATAGCGACCCCATGCACAGTAGAAAAAACACCGCCCAATCCCGTGCCAGCTCCGTGATCCTTGCTATACTTGAGCCCATTGTTGCAGCCACTGTGTCAATCTATCTCATCGAAGGCCTTCCCCTCCTTTGTTGACCCTCCACCTTACCAAGCATGACATCCTTCTCCAGGGAATGGTCCCCTCTGACATGATCAAAATAGGTGAGATGAAGTCTGGCCATCCTCGCTTCCAAAAAGCATCTCGGCTGCACTTCCTCCAGGACAGATCTGTTAGTTCTTTTAGCAGTCCATGGTACTTTCAGCATTCTTCGCCAGCACCACAACTCAAAAGCATCAACT